ACGAGTGGGGCCCCGGGTATGCGTCGACCAGGGGCCCGTAGTTCACCGACGGGACGATGCACGCCGCCAGGAGCCGCAGTCTGTCATGGCGCGAGAGGTCTGCGGCGCGGAGGGTCTCGAGATGGCCGAGCAGAGAGCGCGTGGCCTGCTCCCCGAGGTTGTAGGGGCCGTCCCTCAGTATCCTTGTCCCCATGAAGGCGATGGCCCCCAGCTGGGTCGAGGCGCACTTGGGCTGCTCGACGCAGAGCCCCACCTTGGCCAGGGCGTCGCTCGCGTCCCTCTTCACCGTGTCTGCAGGGACCGAGGGGTGGGACGCGACAACCAGGTCGTCGGCGTAGGCCAGGAGCTCGTACTGGGAGAGGAAGGCCTCCGCAGGCCACACGATCGACTGGCAGAAGAGCGCCATCGAGAGGGGGTCGCCCTGGGGCACCCCTGCAGGCACGGCCGCCAGATCTACGCAGTGCCTCGCGCCCAGGAAGGACGAGACGTACTCGACGGTGGGGAGCGGGACCCTGGCCCGGTGGAGCGAGAAGATGATCACCGCATGGGGCACCGAGTTGAAGGCGTTGCGCACGTCGACGGTCAGCAGGTGGTGCGAGGCCTTGAGCTCCTCGGCCCTGCTGATCGCCTTGACGTGCGCCATCTGCTCGAACGCCAGCTGCCAGGAGGGAAGCTTCTTCAGAGGCGCCGTCTGCTTGAGTATCGCCCTGTGGAAGGCGACGAGAAGGGTCTCTTGTATCGCTATGGGGCGCCACTTCCCGTTGGGCTTCGGCAGCAGCTTGAGCCGGAACTCCGCGAGGGGCTTCAGCTGGCCCCAGTCTCGGGTGGCGAGGAGGCCTGCCAGCGCGGTCGCGAACACCTCGGCGGCGCCTGCCTTGTCGCAGAGGTGGAGCAGGTGCGCCTTGCCGAGGCCAGAGGGCCCGGTGGCGACGGCCTTCATGGACCTCAGCTCCCTCACCAGGGACTTGCCGGTGATCTTCGGGGCAGGCCCGAGAGTATGGGGGACAGCAGGCAGGGAGACGTCCATCGGGAGGGGGTGCAGGTCGCGGATGATCTGCCTGCGCTGCTCGCCCCTGGGCTCCGGGATCCGCGGGGCCTGGGACGCCTCGTCCTGCACGGCCTGCCAGGCCCGCCCGAGCAGCCCCCTACGTAGGAGCATCCGAGAGGGCGGGAGGCGGCCCGAGCCGTCGGCCTTCCGGCAGATGGTGAGGAGGCGGGCGAGTGTCTCGGCGGGCGGGAGGGCCCTTGCAAGCCCCGTGTAGGTGGCCAGGACGAGCTGCAGCAGGGGCTCCGTGGGGTTGCCGCTCGGTATCCCGATCATGTCGTGGGCGGTCTCCTCAAGGGGAGTGAAGTGGCGGAGCCTGCCCATGTGCGCCTTGAGCCCCCTCTCGGTCTTGTATTGGGCCCGGCAGATAGCGCACCTGAAGGGGTACGCCGGGTCCGCGCTGAGGGACGGCGAGGCCGAGGGCTCGGGCTCCGCAGGGAGGGCGGCCGCTGCCAGGTCCGGGGTGGAGCTGCACGAGGAGGGCGTGGGGGCAGCCAGAGGAGTCGGCGGATGGTGGAGCGCTATGTGGGCGTCGATGGCCGCAGAATCGGGGAGCTCCTCGCCGCACTGGCCGCATCTCGTTCCGCTCGGAGGCGGTGCAGCCCCGGGTCCGGGATCGAGGTCTCGCCCGTCGGCGCGCGGATCGGACAGCGATGGCGAGTTGTCGTGCCCGAGATCATGCGGAAGGGCAGAGGACAGAGCCCCCCGGACAGGCGGAAGGGGCCCATCAGAGGCGGGCGGTAACGGAGAGTGTTTTTTGAAGCCCTGTAATTCTTGGCGAGAGGCGGCGCTCTGTTCGAGGACATCTGGAGGGGCGGGGTCGAAACGTAACCCCGCGTGGGGAGTGGATGGCCTCGGCGCGCCAGGGCATGGCCTTGGGGGCGGGCCTCGAGCTGCGCGCCGCGGGGGAGCGCAGTGCCTCATATGGCGAGGCATGGAGTGAGCTCCGGCGCAGGCAGGAGTGCCAGGAGCAGCAGACAGCGCCTGGGCAGAGGGTCGCAGCTCGCGGGAGGCCGCTGCTTCGCCGGATCGAGGAGTCATGTCCGAGCGAGGCGCCATGGTTTTTTTTTTTTCCCAGAGTAATTTACTGAAATACATGCGCACAGGGCGGGGACTATTGGAAGAGATGCTGCCTCACATCAGAGGGGTGAGGGCCCGCCCGGGGCGCCCCAGCCCCCGTGCCCCGTCGCCGAGCGGCCCCCGCCCGGGGAGACCACCCGGCGCGGCGCTCCTGTACGGCGCAGAGCCCTGCGATCGCCTGAGGGACGCGCCTGCAGAGCGCGGGGCGGGGCGCGCGGCCCACTTGCTCTGGGGGGGTGCGGGCAGAGTAGGGGTAATTTACTGAAATACATGCGCACAGGGCGGGGACTATTGGAAGAGATGCTGCCTCACATCAGAGGGGTGAGGGCCCGCCCGGGGCGCCCCAGCCCCCGTGCCCGCGTGGTCTCGCGGCGGGGGCGCGGCCAGAGGGCCTTCTCCCGGCGTCAGGGCATGCCAGGGGGCGCGGAGGGGCGCAGGTGGGCGGCCAGGGGGGCCGGGGGCCGAGCGCTGTGTGTGAGTTGGCGGGAGCGGGCGCTGTGGGTTAGAGCAGGTGCACATAGATCGCATACGGTCGCCCCGTGTGCGCCCCCCGCTCCGCACGCACGGGTCCAATTCCTTTATTTAAAGTGGCGCGTATCGGGCGGGCGGGGGGATTTTCGGAAAATTCGGGGGTCCGGCGGGCCACCCAGCTCAGCCGGCAGAGGAGCGGGAGGCTGGGGGGAACGGGGCATTGCTAGTCACCGTCCCTCTGTGGCGTCTGCATGCTTGCCGGCGGGGCGCGCACATCCGGGGGGGCCGGCCCGGGTTCCGCGCTGGGGGCGCCAAAATTTAGATTTTGCTCGCGCTCCCGGCGTCCGGCCCGGCTCTGGGACGAAGGCTGGCAACGAGGCGACCACACAAGGAAGACACCAGAGGGGCGAAGAAAAGGAACGGACAAGGGGGAGGAGAGAAGACTATGCTGGCCGGCGAGATAAAATGATGCACGAAATTGGCCAAAGAAAAGCAGCGCAGGAGGGATGCCGCAAATAGAAACGTCTGAACTAATTGAAGGCAGCCGAACGAGAAGGAATCGGAGAAATCGAGGCAATACTGGGGAGCGAATTCTGGAACATCTTGGGCCGGCCGGAAGGAGCTATGGCAGAGGGTCGGAGGAAGCGGCTGGGGACCAGAGGACATAAGCATCGCATGGCAACGCCTAGGTACAAGAGCATCCTCGCGAGGGCGGGGGCAAGGGCAGGGAACCCCGGTGCAGGGAAGAGATGCACGCAAGAGCACAGGGAGGCCCCAGGCTCCGGTGATGCCACAGCACGGCATGAGTGGGCCCCCGCCAGACTGGGTCCTATTAGTGCCCCGTCGGCCTTGTGCCCCGCTGGGGGGAGGGAGGTGCCACACCGCCGACACGGTCTAGCGCCCAGGCCCCGCCGCCCAGAAGGTCCAGCAGGCACCACTGATAAAGGGGGCCTGCACCTGTGTTGTGCATTGGAGACCACGGTGTGGCGCCCTCTAGGGGGCCCGGCGGCATCGGCCCGTCCCAGACCCTCCTTGTGCGGCGGGACAGGCAGGCGGCCCCGCAGCCAGCCCGCTGCAATCCGTTACATTGTGTATGTTAACAGAACGGATTGCAGGATTGGGGTGGCAGAACCCTGCGGGCCCGGCGGACCATGAGAGACAGTGGGTCCGTCGGCAGCCCCATCTTGAGCAGGGCGGGGCAAACATGGTCCATCGCGACGCCCGGGACATGCGTGCTCCCTTTGGACTATAGGGTGCATCCGAGCAGGGGCCTCAAGGGAGACAGGCGGTCCCTTCAGATAGCAGCAGCGAAGACGGGGCCACGCGGCACAGTAGGACATACTGCATATCGCCCTCGGACATCGCTGACCACAAAGTCGCCGGGGTCAGGGGCGTGTCTGGGGGCCCACGGCGGTGCACAGTGGTGACGGGGTGCAGCCGGGCCGGACCAGCGAGGCCCAGGACAGGGGGCTGCACATGGTGGATGTCTATCCGTTCGCTGAGGGATGTGCCCGTTGGAAGAGGAGGGACAGAGTCAGGCGCCGAAGGAGTCCGTGCCAAGTGTTGGTCCCCATCCGATGAGGGCATCCACGCAGTAGCCGTCGGGCGCATGGATTGTTGTCCTCGCGTTGAGGTATGCATGCACACCCATGCATGATGGGGCAGCACATGCCTGGAGAGAGCCGCGGACCACAGCCTGATGTTTAGGCCTTCCGGTCAGGAGACCCGGCCGGTGGGGGACAGAGTGCCAGAAGAGTGACTCGGTGGCAGGCAGTGTGCATGGCCATCGGCCCCCCTCGATCGCTGGCAGGGCCCGGATGCATGTGCTGAGGTTCATAGTGGCCCTGGCAGAGCTGCTGATCGAGGGGACGGGGCAGAGTAAGCCATGATGTCCCTGAGCAGGGTGTAGTGCAGCCTCCGTAGTGGGCTCGAGGCTGGAGGGCCCGGGGTGCGGCTGCCTAAGGACAGGCCGAGACCGGCACGGCGGGAGGGCGTCACATGGGCCGCAGATAAGCCAGGGGCCAGACAGCATGTGTATAAGGGACTGGCACATGTAGCCGCCAGGGGGGCACAGCTCAGTCGCAGAGAGACGGAAGACCATGGTGCTGGCCTGGGGGCCCGATCGCCCCTGGTGTGATGCCAGGATGCACCCTGCGGTCCCAAGAGATGCAGCTCGCATACGGAGCCCGGGGATCATGCAGTAGGCAGCTGGAGGGGCAGGCGCCATCACAATGAAGGTGGCACCCAGGGACAGAGCAGCGAGTCAGACAGAGCCCTGGTCTGTTCTCACGTGCCGCGAAGGTGTGTCATGTGCGGCCTCGAGAGACTCCCAGGCCAGGTGGACAGCAGGGATGGATCGGTCGGGCGGGGAATGGGGCCTGTCATGGCCGCCACGCAGCCCGTGCTAGCCGGAGCAAGGAGCGTCGCCCCCAGGAAGGATGCCGGAGACCTTCCTGAATGGATAGGGCTTGTCCTCCCTCACTGGCACCGCCCTGACCCCCACGTGCTTGAATATGGGCGGGCGCTGCTTCCGGGCCGGCTCGACCGTCGGGGCGCCGGGAGGATCCGCTGCTGCAGGCGTTGGGGTCGAGCTCTCCGCCGTGTGCGCTTCAGAGGAGGGCTCCGGCAGGTAGGACCCGGGCGAGGGGGCGTTGGAGACCTCGAACGAGAGCATCAGCTCCACGCTGGGGGACGCAGGCGGGGCATGGGTGCAGAGCCCCGCCGCCTCAGTGATCGCCGCAGCGGGGGCGTCGGCAGGACACTGCGGGGCGCTGGGCGGGTCCTTGCGTGCCGGTGCAGGAAGAGAAGCAGGCACCAGCGGGGCACCCTGGACCGCAGCCGCAACAGGGGACGCCTTCGGGACGGCCAGTGCGGAGTACGAGATGGCCGACTGAGTGTAGTGCCAGAGAATGACCAGGGCGGCCTCCTGTAGGAAGCGGGGGACGTCGACGCCCGCAGAGGCGAGGCCGGCAGCCGACGTGGGGTGGATGGTCCCGTCGGTCCCTAGGACGACCGGCAGGATGTGTCTGGCCCTGCCGGCGTCGACGAGCGGCTTGTACTTGGCCAGCTTGAGGGCGAAGGACCTCTCGACGCGCCAGGGGACCGTCAGCACAAGGTCCCCGTAGCCGTCGCCGATGATCAGGTCGGGCTGGAGATGGTCCACGGGGACGGCCGCGTTGAGGGTGACGAAGCCGGGCCGCCCCTTGGCGCAGGCCACGAGGGCGTCAAGGACCTTGCTGTGCCTGGCGACGTGGATCCCGTTCACAGCCTTGCAGAGGAGATGATGCCTGGGGCGCATGGGCTGCTTGCAGAAGGAGCAGGTGCCGAGGACGACGCTCTTCTGGTACCGTCCCAGGAGGCACTCGCCCACAAAGAGGACCTGATCGTTGTTGAGAGGAGGTCCGCGCAGCAGGGCCAGCGGAAGGAACGATCGGAGGGGCGCAGACTGCTTGATCCGCTTGCGCCTCAGCTCGCGGAAGGTGCCCGCAGCCATCTCCCTCCGCTGCTGCTGCATGTCGGCATGGTAGTGGCCGGGGAGGACGAGGCCCAGCCCGTAGTTGGAGCGGGGCGTGAGGGCAAGGGCCCGGGCCTGCTGGTCGGGGATGGACAGGAGGCACGCGACCTCGGCGAAGACTGCGGCGTCCACGTCGGCGTACGAGTGGGGCCCCGGGTATGCGTCGACCAGGGGCCCGTAGTTCACCGACGGGACGATGCACGCCGCCAGGAGCCGCAGTCTGTCATGGCGCGAGAGGTCTGCGGCGCGGAGGGTCTCGAGATGGCCGAGCAGAGAGCGCGTGGCCTGCTCCCCGAGGTTGTAGGGGCCGTCCCTCAGTATCCTTGTCCCCATGAAGGCGATGGCCCCCAGCTGGGTCGAGGCGCACTTGGGCTGCTCGACGCAGAGCCCCACCTTGGCCAGGGCGTCGCTTGCGTCCCTCTTCACCGTGTCTGCAGGGACCGAGGGGTGGGACGCGACAACCAGGTCGTCGGCGTAGGCCAGGAGCTCGTACTGGGAGAGGAAGGCCTCCGCGGGCCACACGATCGACTGGCAGAAGAGCGCCATCGAGAGGGGGTCGCCCTGGGGCACGCCTGCAGGCACAGAGGTCAGATCTACGCAGTGCCTCGCGCCCAGGAAGGACGAGACGTACTCGACGGTGGGGAGCGGGACCCTGGCGCGGTGGAGCGAGAAGATGATCACCGCATGGGGCACCGAGTTGAAGGCGTTGCGCACGTCGACGGTCAGCAGGTGGTGCGAGGCCTTGAGCTCTTCGGCCCTGCTGATCGCCTTGACGTGCGCCATCCGCTCGAACGCCAGCTGCCAGGAGGGAAGCTTCTTCAGAGGCGCCGTCTGCTTGAGTATCGCCCTGTGGAAGGCGACGAGAAGGGTCTCTTGTATCGCTATGGGGCGCCACTTCCCGTTGGGCTTCGGCAGCAGCTTGAGCCGGAACTCCGCGAGGGGCTTCAGCTGGCCCCAGTCTCGGGTGGCAAGGAGGCCTGCCAGCGCGGTCGCGAACACCTCGGCGGCGCCTGCCTTGTCGCAGAGGTGGAGCAGGTGCGCCTTGCCGAGGCCAGAGGGCCCGGTGGCGACGGCCTTCATGGACCTCAGCTCCCTCACCAGGGCCTTGCCGGTGATCTTCGGGGCGGGCCCGAGAGTATGGGGGACAGCAGGCAGGGAGACGTCCATTGGGAGGGGGTGCAGGTCGCGGATGATCTGCCTGCGCTGCTCGCCCCTGGGCTCCGGGATCCGCGGGGCCTGGGACGCCTCGTCCTGCACGGCCTGCCAGGCCCGCCCGAGCAGCCCCCTACGTAGGAGCATCCGAGAGGGCGGGAGGCGGCCCGAGCCGTCGGCCTTCCGGCAGATGGTGAGGAGGCGGGCGAGTGTCTCGGCGGGCGGGAGGGTCCTTGCAAGCCCCGTGTAGGTGGCCAGGACGAGCTGCAGCAGAGGCTCCGTGGGGTTGCCGCTCGGTATCCCGATCATGTCGTGGACGGTCTCCTCAAGGGGTGTGAAGTGGCGGAGCCTGCCCATGTGCGCCTTGAGCCCCCTCTCGGTCTTGTATTGGGCCCGGCAGATAGCGCACCTGAAGGGGTACGCCGGGTCCGCGCTGAGGGACGGCGAGGCCGAGGGCTCGGGCTCCGCAGGGAGGGCGGCCGCTGCCAGGTCCGGGGTGGAGCTGCACGAGGAGGGCGTGGGGGCAGCCAGAGGAGTCGGCGGATGGTGGAGCGCTATGTGGGCGTCGATGGCCGCAGAATCGGGGAGCTCCTCGCCGCACTGGCCGCATCTCGTTCCGCTCGGAGGCGGTGCAGCCCCGGGTCCGGGATCGAGGTCTCGCCCGTCGGCGCGCGGATCGGACAGCGATGGCGAGTTGTCGTGCCCGAGATCATGCGGAAGGGCAGAGGACAGAGCCCCCCGGACAGGCGGAAGGGGCCCATCAGAGGCGGGCGGTAACGGAGAGTGTTTTTTGAAGCCCTGTAATTCTTGGCGAGAGGCGGCGCTCTGTTCGAGGACATCTGGAGGGGCGGGGTCGAAACGTAACCCCGCGTGGGGAGTGGATGGCCTCGGCGCGCCAGGGCATGGTCTTGGGGGCGGGCCTCGAGCTGCGCGCCGCGGGGGAGCGCTGTGCCTCATATGACGAGGCATGGAGTGAGCTCCGGCGCAGGCAGGGGTGCCAGGAGCAGCAGACAGCGCCTGGGCAGAGGGTCGCAGCTCGCAGGAGGCCGCTGCTTCGCCGGATCGAGGAGTCATGACCAAGCGAGGCGCCATGGTTTTTTTTTTTCCCAGAGTAATTTACTGAAATACATGCGCACAGGGCGGGGACTGTTGGAAGAGATGCTGCCTCCCATCAGAGGGGTGAGGGCCCGCCCGGGGCGCCCCAGCCCCCGTGCCCGCGTGGTCTCGCGGCGGGGGCGCGGCCAGAGGGCCTTCTCCCGGCGTCAGGGCATGCCGCGGCGCGGAGGGGCGCAGGTGGGCGGCCAGGGGGGCCGGGGGCCGAGCGCTGTGTGTGAGTTGGCGGGAGCGGGCGCTGTGGGTTAGAGCAGGTGCACATAGATCGCATACGGTCGCCCCGTGTGCGCCCCCCGCTCCGCACGCACGGGTCCAATTCCTTTATTTAAAGTGGCGCGTATCGGGCGGGCGGGGGGATTTTCGGAAAATTCGGGGGTCCGGCGGGCGTCCCAGCTCGGCCGGCAGAGGAGCGGGAGGCCGGGGGGAACGGGGTGTTATTAGTCGCAGTCCCTCTGTGGCGTCTGCATGCTTGCCGGCGGGGCGCGCACATCCGGGGGGGCCGGCCCGGGTTCCGCGCTGGGGGCGCCAAAATTTAGATTTTGCTCGCGCTCCCGGCGTCCGGCCCGGCTCTGGGACGAAGGCTGGCAACGAGGCGACCACACAAAGAAGACACCAGAGGGGCGAAGAAAAGGAACGGACAAGGGGGAGGAGAGAAGACTATGCTGGCCGGCGAGATAAAATGATGCACGAAATTGGCCAATGAAAAGCAGCGCAGGGGGGATGCCACAAATGGAGACGTCTGAACTAATTGAAGGCAGCCAAACGAGAAGGAATCGGAGAAATCGAGGCAATACTGGGGAGCACAAACTGGGACATCTTGGGCCGGCCAAAAGGAGCACTCGTTGGAGACTGGAGGAGGCGGCTGGGGACTAGAGGACATAAGCATCGCATGGCAACGCCTAGGTACAAGAGCATCCTCGCGAGGGCGGGGGCAAGGGCAGGGAACCCCGGTGCAGGGAAGAGATGCACGCAAGAGCACAGGGAGGCCCCAGGCTCCGGTGATGCCACAGCACGGCATGAGTGGGCCCCCGCCAGACTGGGTCCTATTAGTGTCCCGTCGGCCTTGTGTCCCGCTGGGGGGAGGGAGGTGCCACACCCGCCGACACGGTCTAGCGCCCAGGCCCCGCCGCCCAGAAGGTCCAGCAGGCACCACTGATCAAGGGGGCCCGCACCTATGTTGTGCATTGGAGACCACGGTGTGGCGCCCTCTAGGGGGCCCGGCGGCATCGGCCCGTCCCAGACCCTCCTTGTGCGGCGGGACAGGCAGGCGGCCCCGCAGCCAGCCCGCTGCAATCCGTTACATTGTGTATGTTAACAGAACGGATTGCAGGATTGGGGTGGCAGAACCCTGCGGGCCCGGCGGACCATGAGAGAACGTGGGTCCGTCGGCAGCCCCGGCTTGAGCAGGGCGGGGCAAACATGGTCTATCGCGACGCCCGGGACATGCATGCCCCCTTTGGACTATAGGGTGCATTCGAGCAGGGGCCCCGAGGGGGACAGGCGGTCCCTTCAGATAGCAGCAGCGAGGACGGGGCCACGCGGCGCAGTAGGGTGTCCTGCATATCCCCCTCGGACACCGCTGGCCACAAAGTCGCCGGGGTCAGGGGCGTGTCTGGGGGCCCACGGCGGTGCACAGTGGTGACGGGGTGCAGCCAGGCCGGACCAGCGAGGCCCAGGACAGGGGGCCGCACATGGCGGACGTCTATCCATGTGCTGAGGGATGTGTCCGTTGGAAGAGGAGGGACAGGGTCAGGCGCCGAAGGAGTCCGTGCCGAGTGTTGGTCTCTATTTGGTGAGGGCATCCACGCAGTAGCCGTCGGGCACATGGATTGTTGTCCTCGCGTTGAGGTATACGTGCACACCCATGCATGATGGGGCAGCACATGCCTGGAGGGAGCCGCGGCCACAGCCTGATGTTTAGGCCTTCCGGTCAGGAGACCCGGCCGGTGGGGGACAGCATGCCAGGGGAGTGACTCGGTGGCAGGCAGTGTGCATGGCCATCGGCCCCCCTCGATCGCTGTCCAGGGCCCGGATGCATGTGCTGTGAGTTCATAGTGGCCCTGGCAGAGCTGCTGATCGAGGGAGGACGTGGGGCAGAGTAAGCCATGATGTTCCTGGGCAGGGAGTAGTGCAGCCTCCAATATGGGCTCGAGACTGGAGGGCCCGAGGTGCAGCTGCCTATGGACAGGCCGAGACCGGCACGGCGGGAGGGCGTCACATGGGCCGCAGATAAGCCAGGGGCCAGACAGCATGTGTATAAGGGACTGGCACATGCAGCTAACAAAGAGGCGCAGCTCAGGCACCGAGAGACGGAAGACCGTGGTGCTGGCCTGGAGGCCCGGTCGCCCCTGGTGTGATGCCAGGATGCACCCTGCGGTCCCAAGAGATGCAGCTCGCATAGGAGCCCGGGGATCATGCAGTAGGCAGCTGGAGGGGCAGGCGCCATCACAATGAAGGTGGCACCCAGGGACAGAGCAGCGAGCAGACAGAGCCCTGGTTTGTTCTCACGTGCCGCGAGGGTGTGTCATGTGCGGCCGTCGAGGACTCCCAGGCCACGGCGGGCAGCAGGGATGGATCGGTCGGGCAGGGGATGGGGCCTGTCATGGCCGCCACGCAGCCCGTGCTAGCCGGAGCGAGGAGCGTCGCCCCCAGGAAGGGTGCCGGAGACCTTCCTGAATGGATAGGGCCTGTCCTCCCTCGCCGGCGCCGCCCTGGCCCCCACGTACTTGAAGATGGGCGGGCGCTGCTTCCGGGCCGGCTCGACCGTCGGGGCGACGGGAGGACCCGCTGCTGCAGGCGTTGGGGTCGGGCTCTCCGCCGTGTGCGCCTCAGACGAGGGCTCCGGCAGGTAGGACCCGGGCGAGGGGGCGTTGGAGACCTCGAACGAGAGCATCAGCTCCACGCTGGGGGACGCAGGCAGGGCATGTGTGCAGAGCCCCGCCGCCTCAGTGATCGCCGCAGCGGGGGCGTCGGCAGGACACTGCGGGGCGCTGGGCGGGTCCTTACATGCCGGTGCCAGAGGAGAAGCAGGCGCCAGCGGGGCACCCTGGACCGCAGCCGCAACAGGGGACGCCTTCGGGACGGCCAGTGCGGAGTACGAGATGGCCGACTGAGTGTAATGCCAGAGAATGACCAGGGCGGCCTCCTGCAGGAAGCGGGGGACGTCGACGCCCGCAGAGGCGAGGCCGGCAGCCGACGTGGGGTGGATGGTCCCGTCGGTCCCAGGACGACCGGCAGGATGTGTCTGGCCCTGCCGGCGTCGACGAGCGGCTTGTACTTGGCCAGCTTGAGGGCGAAGGACCTCTCGACGCGCCAGGGGACCGTCAGCACAAGGTCCCCGTAGCCGTCGCCGATGATCAGGTCGGGCTGGAGATGGTCCACGGGGACGGCCGCGTTGAGGGTGACGAAGCCGGGCCGCCCCTTGGCGCAGGCCACGAGGGCGTCAAGGACCTTGCTGTGCCTGGCGACGTGGATCCCGTTCACAGCCTTGCAGAGGAGGTGATGCCTGGGGCGCATGGGCTGCTTGCAGAAGGAGCAGGTGCCGAGGACGACGCTCTTCTGGTACCGTCCCAGGAGGCACTCACCCACAAAGAGGACCTGATCGTTGTTGAGAGGAGGTCCGCGCAGCAGAGCCAGCGGAAGGAACGATCGGAGGGGCGCAGACTGCTTGATCCGCTTGCGCCTCAGCTCGCGGAAGGTGCCCGCAGCCATCTCCCTCCGCTGCTGCTGCATGTCGGCATGGTAGTGGCCGGGGAGGACGAGGCCCAGCCCGTAGTTGGAGCGGGGCGTGAGGGCAAGGGCCCGGGCCTGCTGGTCGGGGATGGACAGGAGGCCAGCGACCTCGGCGACGACTGCGGCGTCCACGTCGGCGTACGAGTGGGGCCCCGGGTATGCGTCGACCAGGGGCCCGTAGTTCACCGACGGGACGATGCACGCCGCCAGGAGCCGCAGTCTGTCATGGCGCGAGAGGTCTGCGGCGCGGAGGGTCTCGAGATGGCCGAGCAGAGAGCGCGTGGCCTGCTCCCCGAGGTTGTAGGGGCCGTCCCTCAGTATCCTTGTCCCCATGAAGGCGATGGCCCCCAGCTGGGTCGAGGCGCACTTGGGCTGCTCGACGCAGAGCCCCACCTTGGCCAGGGCGTCGCTCGCGTCCCTCTTCACCGTGTCTGCAGGGACCGAGGGGTGGGACGCGACAACCAGGTCGTCGGCGTAGGCCAGGAGCTCGTACTGGGAGAGGAAGGCCTCCGCAGGCCACACGATCGACTGGCAGAAGAGCGCCATCGAGAGGGGGTCGCCCTGGGGCACCCCTGCAGGCACGGCCGCCAGATCTACGCAGTGCCTCGCGCCCAGGAAGGACGAGACGTACTCGACGGTGGGGAGCGGGACCCTGGCCGGTGGAGCGAGAAGATGATCACCGCATGGGGCACCGAGTTGAAGGCGTTGCGCACGTCGACGGTCAGCAGGTGGTGCGAGGCCTTGAGCTCCTCGGCCCTGCTGATCGCCTTGACGTGCGCCATCTGCTCGAACGCCAGCTGCCAGGAGGGAAGCTTCTTCAGAGGCGCCGTCTGCTTGAGTATCGCCCTGTGGAAGGCGACGAGAAGGGTCTCTTGTATCGCTATGGGGCGCCACTTCCCGTTGGGCTTCGGCAGCAGCTTGAGCCGGAACTCCGCGAGGGGCTTCAGCTGGCCCCAGTCTCGGGTGGCGAGGAGGCCTGCCAGCGCGGTCGCGAACACCTCGGCGGCGCCTGCCTTGTCGCAGAGGTGGAGCAGGTGCGCCTTGCCGAGGCCAGAGGGCCCGGTGGCGACGGCCTTCATGGACCTCAGCTCCCTCACCAGGGACTTGCCGGTGATCTTCGGGGCAGGCCCGAGAGTATGGGGGACAGCAGGCAGGGAGACGTCCATCGGGAGGGGGTGCAGGTCGCGGATGATCTGCCTGCGCTGCTCGCCCCTGGGCTCCGGGATCCGCGGGGCCTGGGACGCCTC